TGGTGTTTAACAAAATCTCGACAATATTGATTCAATTCAGTCTCACAATTATAATGACACATTTTACACTACTTTAAAAATTATAATGACATATTTTTGTAAATTTAGAAATAAATTTTTTAAACTAAAAGTGAAAAAATTTATTTTTAATCGTTTTACAAATTCAAGTCTAGGTTTTTTTATGGTTTTACCTTCTTTTTTTATTCTATACAAAAATCTCGAGGCGGTGATTCGCGATTCCTTTGAAGAGGTTTGTTTGATTTTCACGTCTCCTCTCCTCTGATTCGATCGAGAATTTCATGAAATTAGGGTTTTATATTTGCCGTCCCTAATTGTTTCAGTCCTATCTTCCCACCTCTCGCGTAGGCAAAGAAACCAGCTCTCCATAGTATATGCACAACCTTTGAATCTTGTCTTACTTCTTGACAAGAAACACCGACTATCGATACTTAGATCTTGAAGTGTAACGTTTGTCGACCCAAATTGCAAGCAAAGCATGTCATCTACCGGTTGAGCTCGAGCACAGGGCGTATTGGGCGATCAAGGTGCTCAACTATGACATGAAGACCGCTGCAGAGAAACGTGAGCTCCAACTTCACCATCTCGAAGAAATCAAACTTGACACGTATGAGAACACGCAAATCTATAAGGATAGAGCGAAGAAATGGCACGATCGACACATCATTCAGCGATCATTCCACTCAGGTGATCTTGGCCTTCTCTTCAACTCTCGTTTGCGATTGTTTCCAGGTAAGCTGAAGTCTAAGTGGTCCGGTCCATTCAAGATCCATCGAGTTTACGACCACGGCGCAATAGAGCTGTACAACGGTACGGGTGGAACGTTCAAGGTAAATGCACAGCGTCTGAAGCTGTATAATCCGGCCGACCCTGTAGGTGAGAGAGGCGTTCTTCCTCTCGCAGTACCACCACCAGCCTGAGCTCACATACGGTCTAGCTAATGACCATAAAAAAGCGCTTCCCGGGAGGCAACCCGAGGTTTTTGTTTTGTTTTTGGGTGTTATTTAAGTTTTAGACTTCTTTTTTCTTTGGATTTGGGAGCCTACATGGTGTTTTCCCTCTAGTACAGGGGTATAGCACTTGATATGCAGGTCGTCGAGCGCAGAAACAGAGTTTGGATCGTGTTCGAGAGTTCTGACTCGGTCCGAGTCAAGTGTTGACTCGACCGAGTCAATTCGCAGAGGATGAATCGACATAAGGTAAACTGACTCGACCGAGTCAAGTGTTGACTCGGTCCGAGTCAGGGTTTCGAAACCCTACTTATCCCACTTAGTCGTTTTCTTCCCCATTTCGTCCCCTTTTCGCGAAAACATCTCCTCACTTGGTCTTGTCACTCTGAGTCGCCTCCTCCGATTTCGCAATATAAATCTGTACGGTATGTGTCCCCTCACTTATATTTTGCAGATTGCGGACGATTCATACCTGTTTCGCGGAGATTTACGCATATTTATTCCGGATTTGCGAAGGATTTTTGGGTTGCGAGCGAGATTTGTGATTTTCACCAAATCGGGAAATTTTCATGAGTTTTTGAGTGATTAGGACACAGATCTTTGCACATACATGCTTCTTCTTGATTACCCATGAGTTTTTTTGGTTGCTTTCAGCGATTTCGGGAGTTTTTGGTGCAGATTTTCGAGCGGCTCTGTATTACGACAGTTCTGGTCAGAGATAGGATCCCGCGACTACATACCCAGTCGTCTGAAGTCTACATGGATCCGACACCCTGCAGTCAGGTATTTCACATGATCCTAGCGAACACACTGTTTGCTAGGAAAGATCCAGGGTCAGTGTCTCAGACACAGACACTCAGGATACAACACGATGCATTATACGGGGAGTTTCACAGGTTTCGCAACCGACTATTCCCAGATGAGCAGCCACCAGTACCCATGGAGGACGACAGAGACGATGCACCAACAGACGACTAGACCATAGTTCAGGTAGGTCTTCCCTTTTCTATTTTAGTAGAAATGTAGTAGGCTTTTCGGATGTATTTTGGGGACTCGGATTTTGCATACTCGAGACTTATTTATCTACGTGCGAGCCTCTATGTTTTTTTCGGATAACGTTTGTTGTTCTCTGAGCGTTCATACCGACACATGAAAGATGAGTATCAGTTTCCGAGTGACGACGATTGGATAGGTTCCAGTTCATAGAGTGTGCAAGAGCTCTTGCGTTTGACGTGAGTTAACTTCGTTGCGCGAGCGAACGAATTTCGCAGAGCTAAGTTTCTCTATCCCTCTTATTGGTTCCTTTGATATGTCGTCTTCGATTCTACTTTTTTGGACGAGAATCTACACCATGGACGGTGTATGGTTCAAGTCGGGGGGTGGATAGATCCTTCACACATTCATGTCCATCTACTTAGGATTGCATTTAGTTTGGGTGCATTTTATCATGACATATAGACTTAGGAAAAATTTTCACTTTTTGCATATCACTTTGCATTAGCTGCATTCACACGTTTTTTTTATTTTTTACTTTTCATATAGATGAGTTTTTGTTAGGTTTGCATGATTGCATTTTACATATAGATTAGGTTCATATAGGTTCACGTGCATACCTCGAAAACCCGTTTTGAACATCATTTGGAAGATTTGTGGGATGATAGAGTAGGAATATCTTGATGATCTAGCGACTTTGTAGAACGTGGTTGAACCGTATCGAATTGATAGTTCTCCAGACTTTCTATATAAAGTTTGTGGGATGGGGTTGTTATTTGGAATCTACGGAGTTGAAACGACTATATCTAGGCTATACGTTTCGTTTAGAACCGTTTCCGAGTCTTGCAGGTCGATGAAATCTAGTTCAACAAATGCCTTGGGAAAATAAAGCATCTCGACACTCCGCTGTCAAAATCTCGGTAACGAAAATCGTTCGAGTACATGAGTGCATCGATCGATGGTTCGGATCTAAGTTGTGGGTCGGACATCGCATTGAAAAGAAAAAAAAGAAGGGAAAAAAAAGAGAAGAGAAAAAAAAGAGAGAAAACCGATGTCCTTCAACTTCAACGTCCTAGAAAACCGAGATGCGTGCGTTTAACAGAAAAAAAAACCTACAAAAAGGTAAAAATACAGGTACGTAGAACTTAGATCGAAGAGGCTAAGTTGAGATAAGGATAGGTTCGGAAACATGTTTGGTGAGTTGTAGAGATTCTAATGGGTTCTGAGTGGCAATAAAAGTCCCATGACTAGGTAGATTAGTCTTTGGTAGAAAGATCATAGTAGACCGGTTTGGGTACGATTCACGGGGAGCGAGCATTGGAAGGATGTTTCGCTTTTGAGTTTCATGATGATGCTATTTGATGTTCGTCATCCCTGTTTTGCAGATTTTATTCCTTCGTTCCTTACTCGAGGACGAACAAAGGTTTAAGTCTGGGGGGATTTGATAACTCCTAATTCTCTCTATATTTCCAGGACGTTTTTATGGAATCTATATGAGGATCACATTCATTTGTAGGCATTATAGGCGTGTTAGGCTACGAAACTCGGTTTGGTTGTGTTTTTATAGGATTACAGGTCTTGGATGAGATTCGGACCAAAACGGAAGCAATCTGGAGGTAAAAGGACGGGATACGTCAAGAACTTCCTGCATTGACTCGGCCAGAGTCAACAATGGAAAGTGGACCGAGTCAACATGCTGAAAATGGCCAAATTCAAACCTGTTACGAAGAGTCCGAGTCAGAACGTCCGAGTCCGAATGCCCGAGTCAGCAAGCCCGAGTCAGAAGGACCGAGTCAGAAGAATGGGTTGGGCCGATATTTTAAAAGCCCGTTTTGACTCGGTCGAGTCGGAGTACTGACTCGGTCCGAGTCAAAACCTAGAAAAAGCCCAGATTCGAAGTTTTCAGAGTTGGAGCGGGAGTAGGACTTCGGGGGCGCCGCCTAGGGTTTATAAGAAAGACCTACAGACGTCCAAGAGGGAGACAGACTTTATACAGACTTTAGACGGACTTTGGAGAACTTGGGGGGAGAGAAATAGGAGTATACGGTATCTCGGAAAGAAGAAGGAGATTTGGAACGTGGAGATCGCTTGGTTGTCGACATGAGTCTTTCTTCTCCCTCTTTTGTTTCTGATTTCGATTTTATTCTGTGTTTTTCCATGAACCGTGAGTAGATCCACGACTATGGGTTAGGGATTCGTTTGTGTTTTGGGTATGTTTTAACACTAACTTGGTTGCGATTTGGTTTTGTTTCGGTTTTATCGATTTGCACTTCATGTCAATTGATGTTTGCTGATCCCTTGATCAGTTGTTTTATATTCTGAATCACATAGGAATATGGGTTTAGTTTCGGATCAAAATCGATAGAATAGATCGTATTATTCACATAGGAATATGGTTTGATCGATCTAGGTTGATGATAGCGTTCTTCATGCATCTAGTTTAATAAATCACATAGGGATATGGATTTAGAAAACTTTAGATAGTGAGTTATATGTCGGAAGGTGATTTCTCTATCTTTGTTGCTTGACGATTCCCGAATACAGATTCAATATCGTGATTCTCGCATGCTTAGCAACTACCCATACACGCGAATACGGTCTCGACACCCACGGTCATCTTTGTTTGATAGTTTACACGTTTTTATTTGCTTTCTTATTTTAGTTATTTTAGATTTCACATACTTCCACTTGCTTGCTTTGATTTAATTTCGATTATGGTTTAGATTTAGCAATCGGTCCTTGCGTTCGACCCCGTGTTACGACGATCCGTATCTTTGCGGTGAGTTATGAATCGGATTACAAATTCTAGACTCGATACACGCGTATCAACCCGTTGAAAATCCGTTGGAATTTTCGATTATATAAACCGAGTGCCCCACTCTTCCTCCTCACTCAAACTCGTCAAAAAAATAATACAAAAAAAAAAACAACAAAAAAAAACAAAAAAAAAAACACAAAATGGTAATATGTTTTTTATTTTTTAAATTTAATATTTGTTTATGTTTTATTTTAAATATTACTAACTATTGTTTTTTTCAGTTTCGTAAGCGATTTTTCGGATCCGGTGAATTGTTGGCGGGTTCTTCTGGAGCACCGCCACCGCCACCGCCACCACCTTCTCGTCTTCCAGATCCGCCGGACGCACCGCCGCTATTCCCAGAGATTGACATAACTCTGGAGGAGGTAGAAGAGATTTTAAACTCCTTCGATACTCGCGAGGTCCCGCTGATTGATCCTGAACTTGACGGGATGTTATGGTAATTTTTAAATTAATTTATTTAAATAATTATTTTAATTATATTATTAACTAATATTAATAACAAATTGTAATTATTAGGTTTGGGGTTAACAATAAAGAGTTGAGAAAAAAATTTACGGTAATAATAACGTCTATTTTTCTCAACTCTACTGCTGTCCTTTTAAACGTGGAATTCTCTGTCTGTGATTTTCGTATGTTTTGATTGCTAGTTGCTTGCATGCATGCGTGCGTGCGTATTTATACGGAAATTTTCTATCAGTTGGTAACTAAGCGCTTTCTATTTTTGAAAAATTTTAAGTATTATCTATAATTACTTAACCGTATATCCATACAGATCCAAACAAAAGACCAAAGAGATTATGATGACATCTCCATGTTTGAAAAATCTGTAAAATCTGTTTTCTCCACTTATTCCATCTTTTTAAACCAAAAAAAAAACTTATTCCATCTTCTTGTTTGTATCTACGTAGACTTCTGTTTCTATACAAAAGTATTAAATTAAATTATTGGAATGTTTATATTTCAGAAGATTCCATTAAAAATCCAGTTTATTTTACGGTACCGTTGTTACTATTAGATTAAAAAAAATGCTAATACTTTTAAAAATTTTGATTTTTATATCGGTTGTTATTCGTGTATCAGACAAGTTTGATGATAATAAAATTTCTAATTGTTATCATACAAAGATGATGATTCTTGAGAAGATTGATGATAATAAGATTTATAGTTTGTTCACAATTCCTCCTAATTACGATCCGACCGAACCATAGGCACCGGCAGCCACGTCAGTCGCAGTCTCACCTTCGAGTTCTTGAAGTAGAAGCATCTGTTGCGCCCGTCGAGTAAGTGCGTTTGCGTTGAAATCCTCGTTTCTCTCGTATCTAGTGTTGTGAATTGAAGAAATGGGGTTGATTTTAGGGTTCCTGGGTTTTGGATGTTTGATCGCGTACTTGCAATTGTTGCGGTAAAATCTGTGTTTGTGGAGATTCTAGTGCCAATCGTAAGCTATTCCGACTAGTACAAATACAGTGTCGAAACTGTCGATGCGTGGAGTTTCCCAGTATTGTGTGTCTGATTTGCTAGGAATTAGGGCACCGTATCGTCATCGGACCTGGCGAATGTAGCCTTTCTTTTTACATTTCCGGGGATTTTCTTGCAGTTATGTATGAACCCTACTTATGCTAAGAATATTTCGCGACCACTCCTTGAATCGTTGGTGCAAGTGTGGATCATATTTGGTTGGTTCTGCAGCTTCTGCTTGTTCATACTTGAGGTTTAGTCAGATCTTAAGCCGGCTCTGCATTTGGATAAAGATTAGAGTTTTGATTGTTGAAATTATGTTAGTGTCAGAGTGGTATTAGATTATTGTTACTCTGAATTAAAGCATCAATACTGGAAGTCATCGTTTTCTGTTAATTTGCAGTTCGCCATTTCTGGTTGTAGGGAGGCCGAGTCATCTTCAGCTAAACTCAGAAGAAATTTCTGGGCTTCCACCACTGATGATTGAGAAGCTTTCAGACGCTTCACATCTTTTGAACTCACACACTATCCCGCTGGGGAGTGGCAATATGACCATGTTTCTCATGCTCCTGTTGCGAGGGCAGGAAGGGCATTACGGAAGGGAGACACAAATGGGCATCCTTCATCTCTTCCCCGTAGCAAATGTCCAAAAGGAAAATTGCCTCATTCTAAGAATATTTCAGAAGCTGTTGGCTGATTGCTAGTGCCTCCACAGTTCAAGGGAAGGTTAGTCCATTGCACTCTGTTTTGTTGTTTTCAGGAGTAGCTGCTCACTTATTGAGCAATTGTAAATGTAGGTTGCAGAAATTGTAGTTGATTGGAATTTATTTCAGGAGTATATTTAGTTTGGTTGCAAACCTTCTGATTTAGTTTGTATTTTCCAAAATCTGCTGTTGGATTTTGCGTCTGCGTGTTAAATGGCCAAAGAATATGTATGTACGGAATCCAAAACCCAGGAAAAAATGTGGACAAGAGGAAGTTTGGGTTTTGATTCTTGTTATGTGATGTTCCCTCTTTTTCCTTGTTTGTGTTTGAGTGTTTCTCGCTCTGAAGTAGCTGAATCTGATCTCTTTATTGGATAAGTGTAACTGTAAATACTTGGTCGAAGGAAGTCTAGTAGGTTTGAATTTGTTACCGGAGATTATTCCATTTCCAGGTTCGGATTAGACCCTTCGACTCAAGAGATTGTTCCTCGATGTTTTTGAGTGTCCTAAGGATTTTCGGAACAACGACATTAAGACGTGATAGCGTGTTCTGTGATGGAGAGCCTTTTCATATTAAGATGTTGTGAACATGTGTTGGATCTTACAGTTCAAGATGGATTCAAACTGGTTACTGATGTTTTACATGAAATTAGGGTATGTTGATATAAAAAAGATCAGGAGAGAGGTTTCTTGCAACGACTTTGACTATTCAAAATTATTGAAACGTGTTGGCTATCTTCTTTGCGCGTATTTATTTCTAATAAGTTTAAAGGCATTGACTTGGTCTCGTCAACGATCAACTCCTCCTACTACAATTGCAGCAAATGAAGACGATGAGTTGTGCATTTGGACAAAGTCTCTTGCTCTGCAAACCTCTTCTTCCTCTTTCGCCATGAACGGATCAAACCAAGGATGTGGCACTAATCATAAGATCGTCGGTCATGATTCTTCACTTCCTCTTGTCGGCTTTAAACGCCGAAGATGAACATTCGATGTCTTCATCAGCTTCAGAGGTGTAGACACTCGCAGGGACTTCACAAGCCATCTCCACAAAGCACTGTCTGAGAAAGGTATCGATGCTTTCGTTGACGACCGAATCGAGAGGGGGGATGAGATCTCGGAAGCCCTTGTGGAGGCCATCCAAGGATCTCAGCTGTCTTTGGTTGTCTTCTCTGAGGACTACACTTCATCCGGATGGTGCTTGGAAGAGCTCGTTCAGATCCTTCGATGCAGGAAAACAATGGACCAATTGGTTATACCCATCTTCCACAACGTCGATCCTTCGCACGTACGGCGGCAAAAGGAGAGCTTTGCTGCAGCATTTGAACGGCACGAAGAGAGATACAAGGACAACATGGAGAAAGTGAACATGTGGAGGTCTACGTTACACGAAGTAGCCAATCTTTCTGGTCATAATTCATCAGAATTCAAGTAAGTAGCTGCCGCTAACTTTTCGTCACCGTTTTTTGTGATTTTGTCTATTCTTGAATCTGATTCAGAGATATTCACAGATCTGATTCCATGTTGGTCGACGCAGTTGTTAGAGATACTCTCGAAAAGCTACGTCGCATATCTCGCAGACCAAACCCTAACAATGGTTTAGTGGGAATTGATTCACGGATGGAGAAGGTTATGAGGTTGTTAGACTTTGGTGAAGAAGATATTCGCATCATGGGTATATGGGGAATGGGTGGAATTGGTAAGACCACTCTTGCTGAAGCTGTGTTCGACCAAATCTCTGGCGATTTCGAGGGCTCTTATTTCTTCAAGAATGTTAGAGAAACTGAAGAAAAGGGCGATCTTGTTGAGAGGAGAAATGAGTGTCTATCTGTGATTCTGGGGGAAAATCTACGAATAGGAACTTCTATGCTACCGAGCTTTGTGGTTGGTAGGCTTCATCGTAAAAGAGTACTGGTTGTGCTTGATGATGTGAACCATCAGAGACAACTTGAAATTTTGTTTAAAGGGCTCGATGAGTCTAGTGATGGAAGCCGTGTGATCATAACAACACGAGATAAACATTTGCTCAGCATTTTCCCGAAAGACAAAGTAAAAGTATATGATATGGAGGGATTAAACAATGATGAAGCATTACAACTGTTTTGCCGCAATGCTTATGTCTCAGGCCTTCAGACTGAAGGTTATGATGAGCTCGCAATGAAGGTGGTTCATTATGCTTCTGGCATTCCTTTGGCACTTAAAGTCTTTGCTTGCTCTCTTCGGGGCAGGGGCAAACACGAGTGGGAAAGTGCCTTGAACAAGCTGGGGAAAGTTGCCAACATGGAGATTAGCAATATATTGAAAGTTAGCTACGACGGTCTAGAAGACAGAGAAATACAAAACATATTTCTTGATATTGCTTGTTTCTTCAAGGGGCAAGATAAAGATCACGTGATCGGATTGCTAGATGGTTGTTATCACGCTGCGTCTTATGGGTTAAGTGTTCTCGATGATAAGGCACTTATAAATTTAAGAAGGAACAAGATTGAGATGCCAGATCCGCTGCAAGAGCTTGGCTGGGATATTGTCATACAAGAATGTGAGTCAGAGCCTGGGAGAAGGACTCGACTGTGGAGACCTGATGATGTTCACCGTGTTCTCAAAAGAAATAATGTAAGAAGAAGTTTCACGATTTTGTTTCATCCCTTAGTATGCAAGTTCATGTCATTTTTCCTTCTTTTTCCCTCTTATATTTCAACATGGTAAGAAGGATTTGCACTGATGGCAGTTTGGCTCGCTTTACAGGGTACAGCGGCAGTCAAAGGTATATTCTTGGATTTGTCAAAAGTAATGAAGTTGAACATAAGCCCGGATGTCTTCGAGAAGATGTACAATCTCAGATTCCTCAAATTCTATAACAACAAAGGGGTAAACACTAAAGTGTGTCTGCCATGTGGCCTCGAATCTCTTCCTGTAAGGTACTTGTGTTGGCCTGAGTTTCCGCTGAAGTGCCTGCCATCTGAATTTTGTCCTGAGAATCTTGTTGAGCTTGACATGAGACATAGCAATTTTACGCAGCCCTGGAGCGGTGCTCAGGTAGATGAAATGTGAATATATCCTTGGCATCTTCTTCGATTCCGTTTTCTTTCATTGCGTTGTATACATGTTTGTTTGTTATTATTCTATCAATCTTGCAGATACGAATTTAACTAACCATATCATTTGTTTATGCAGAATCTGTGTAGCTTAAAGAGTTTAAATTTGGCATACTCGCTGGAGCTGAATAAATTGCCCAATCTAACGAGGGCCACAAAACTAGAGCGGATTATTCTGCGAGGTTGCTGTCAGATAGATGAATTTCCTGAGAGTTCAACAAATGTTAAAGAAATAGATCTATCTAGGACTGCAATAGTAGAAGTGCCTTCTTCAATTCAACATCTCTCCAGGCTTGTGGATCTAAAGCTGTATAATTGTAAGAGACTTCAGAAACTTCCAGATACTTTGAGCAGTCTAGACAAGCTACCTCATCTTAATCTTACTAATTGTGGGAGCCTTAGGTCTATACCCAGTGGCATTTGGAAGATGCAATCCCTCAAGGTCTTAGATCTTTCTGATTGCTCACAGTTGGAAGAAATCCCACAAGTTTTGGAGCGCAATGACTGCTTGGGAAGTATTGATTTGAGTGGAACAGCTATAAGAGAGTTGCCCTCTTCAATTTTTAAAGGCTCGTTAGACTTGATTGTTTGCGGTTAGACGACTGCTGAAACCTCTCTGCGCTACCGGAGACATTGTGGAATATAGCAACTCTGTCTTGGTTCAGATTTCTTGGAACAAACATAAGACAACTGCCACTGTTTCAAAAAGATTTGACGAAGATGGATTCCTTGTGTATTTCAGGATGTGAGAGTCGAGATCATGTGCCGTTGTCATTTCCTCCATTGTTGAGAGTCTGTTCTCTAGAGAGACTCGAAATGATGGGTTTGCAATCTTGCATATCCCTAAGGAAATTGGTTGTCTAACATCGTTGATATTCTTAAATTTGAGCAGAAACGACTTCAAGATTTTACCTGACAGTATCAAGCATCTTTCCAAGCTGCAATTTCTTGGCCTAAGCTATTGCTGGAAACTTGAATCATTGTTCGAGGATATCGGTTGTCTAATATCATTGAGAGTCTTAGATTTGAGAGGCAATGACTTCAAGGTTCTGCCTGCTAGTATCAAACATTTGTCGAAGCTTGAAGAGTTTCACATAAGCTACTGCAGGAGACTTGAGTCATTATCAGGGCTTCCTAGTAGTCTATGGCATTTTGTTGCACATGACTGTTCATCTTTGGGAACTATATTGAGTGATATGAAATTTGTTCCTCGAGCATTGGGAGGAAAATACATATTCAGTAATTGTCTCGAACAAAAGGAAGACATGAGCGTAAAGATACAAACTGCTGCAAAGTCATTGTTCCAGACGCGAGGCCATATACTTGGGTTGGTTTCTCTCATCCTCTATTTGTATATTGTCTGTGCACTGTGGAATATGTCACCAGACTTGGTTTATTTATCCTGATTAGTGAGTGGCATCTACGGTTATTATGCAAGAGCGATTGCGGTTTTTTGCCATCCAGGGAAAGGAGATGGTGTGTGGTTTAACTGGTTTTCGGACAAATCCCTCATTCCTGTGTTTTCTTCATCCATAAAGTTTTCTGTTTTTGTTCAAATTCATAATCCATAAACTTGAAGCCTGATATTATATCTCTTTGATGGCACAGAATGACATCGTAATGTGTTTACCAGGCAGCAGCATTCCAGATTGGTTTACTGGTCCTGGAACAGGAGCTTCAGTTACCTTGCAATTGCCTATAGGATTGCGTGACAACAATTCCATAGGTTTAGCTCTATGCATTTCTGCTGCATTCACAGACTACTCCCCAGAATTAGGACTAACCATTCACGGTGAGTTCTGCCTGGAGAGCCGAGAAGACGACTTTCCTGAGAAGGAGGCGTGGGATTTCGATCTGAAACCATTCGAAAGAGAAACTATGCAAGCGCAAGCCGACGTTCAAACCCGATTTCTCAGGTCAGATCACATATTCCTCTGCTCCAGAAATCTGTACGCCGAGGAATGCAATCACAAGACGGTGACTGTCACTTTCCACCTTTTGGACGGAGCAGATATGCCTCTAGAGTGTTGCAGGGTGGAGAAGTGTGCCTATTACGTGCTACCGACTTGAAATGGGTCGACGTATCGCATTCATGCGTGTATTGATTTTCACGTGTGTGTGAAGCCAGGCGGCTTGTTTTTGTATCTGTTACAAGGTTGTCGGGCACAGGTCGGGTACCCCCAATTTTTAGAAAACCCTGTCTCGTCTTCATTATCACGGGTTTTACAAAAATATTATCTCAGTCTTGGCTCCATAAAATCCGGGTACTTATAGCTCGGGTTTAATGAGATTCTCGGTCTTGTACTCACGGATACCCGGACCCATACGATTTATAAAATTTTGAACTATAAAATGATAGATATAGAAAATACAAATGAGAGAGGTCAAAATATAAAAAAAAAATTCACGATGAAAAGAGATGAATAAAATTTTGAGAGACAGATGAATGATTGATTCGGTTACATAGAATGATATTTGGAATGATAAAATTTTTGTATAGAAAGGTTTAGAACATAAAAAGATTGAACTAAAATAAAAGTATTTTAATAAATAATAAGAATAATTTAGACAAAAATATTATAGATATAAAGTATATTTTAGATTTTTAACAAATATACCGGGTACCCCGGGTACCTTTTGTAAAATAATTAAACCCCCACTCGGACTCGGAGTCGAAAACTTAGTCTTATTAATACTCGATCTCATCATCGTTAATATTCGGGTACCCTTTATTCGGGTACTTGTTAAGCCGGGTACCTCCAAACCCCCGGGTTACGGGTTAAAACACCCACCCCTATTGCTTTCCATAGTGTCATGGACTAACAAATAACAATATCAAAATCTTTACCTTGGATTAGGAGAGCTCTCCCCCCTTAAGTTTTAATAAATTTACAATTTATGGTATGGGTGAATGAACAAAAATATTCTTGGTTTTAAAAATTTGTTACTTTCAATAATTGTATTGAGACAATGCATGATATTTTTTTTTAAAAACTTTTTTCTAAATGAATAGTCCGTTCGTAAACAAATTCCGTGATGATCTAGTATTTGAAAAGAAATTGAGGTTATTTTTAGAAATTCCTTAAATCATTATGTTTGATGGAAATTTAGGTTACAGAATCCATCGTACTGAAAGTCTCGTTTTCGAATTGCCCTGTCGAATTGTATTCTCCAGCCCTAGCCTACACACAGTCTTCACATCACAATTAAATAAATTGACTTTTTTGCCCTTCTTCCAATATAGAATTACTGTCTTACCCTTTACATTTTAGGCCTTCAGGCAGCCGCTACTATCACAGCCCATGGGCCTGAGCGGCAAACATTCTGCGTGTGATACAAGGTAATAATTTTTTGTTGATTACGGATGTAATCATGGAAATACTGAATGGTGACATATATTTTCCTTTAGTTGTGGGGTAAATTGTGTCTAATTAATTTATACAGATTTATATTTGCATCCTACAAATATAAAGAGAGTCCGCAAACTCCGAAAGGATTCCTGTCCGCTGACTTGGACTATTCTGCAATTGGAGCAAGGTCTCTTGTTTTCGTTAAAAATTGCAGCAAGGTCTCTTGCTCTGAAAACCTCATCTTCTTCTTGCACCATGAGCGGATCAAACCAAGGACGCGGCGTTAGTCATCAGATCGTCGGTGATGGTTCTTCACTTCCTCTTGTCGGCTCTAAACGTCGAAGACGAACATTCGATGTCTTCATCAGCTTCAGAGGTTTAGACACTCGCAGGGACTTCACAAGCCATCTCCGCAAAGCACTGTCTGAGAAAGGTATCGACGTTTTCGTCGACGACCGGCTCGAGAGAGGGGATGAGATCTCGGAAGCCCTTGTGGAGGCCATCCATGGATCTCTACTGTCTCTGGTCGTCTTCTCTGAGGACTACGCTTCATCCAGGTGGTGCTTGGAAGAGCTCGTTCAGATCCTTTGATGCAGGAAAACAATGGACCAATTGGTTATACCCATCTTCCACAACGTCGATCCTTCGCACGTGCGGTGGCAAAAGCAGAGCTTTGCTGCTGCATTTGAGCGGCACGAAGAGAGATACAAGGACGACACGGAGAAAGTGAATAGGTGGAGGTCTGCGTTACACGAAGTAGCCAATCTTTCTGGTCATAATTCATCAGAATTCACGTAAGTAGCTGCCGCTAAGTTCTCGTCACCATTTCTTCGTGATTTTGTCTATTCTTGAATCTGATTCAGAAATATTTCACAGATCTGATTCCATGTTGGTCGACGCAGTTTTTAGAGACACTCTCGAAAAACTACATCGCATATCGCGTAGACCAAACCCTAACAATGGCTTAGTGGGGATTGATTCACGGATGGAGAAGGTTATGGGGTTGTTAGACTTTGGTGCAGAAGATATTCGCGTCGTGGGGATATGGGGAATGGGTGGAATTGGTAAGACCACTCTTGCTGAAGCTTTGTTCGACCAAATCTCTGGCGGATTAGAGGGCTCTTATTTCTTCAGGAATGTTAGAGAAACTGAAGAGAAGGGTAATCTTGTTGAGAGGAGAAATGAGTGTCTATCTGTGATTTTGGGGGAAAATCTACGAATAGGAACATCTATGCTACCGAGCTTTGTGGTTGGTACGCTTCGTCGTAAAAGAGTACTGGTTGTGCTTGATGATGTGAACCATCAGAGACAACTTGAAATTTTGTTTAAAGGGCTCGATGAGTCTAGTGCTGGAAGCCGTGTGATCATAACAACACGAGATAAACATTTGCTCAGCATTTTCCCGAAAGACAAAGTAAAAGTATATGATATGGAGGGATTAAACAATGATGAAGCATTACAACTGTTTTGCCGCAATGCTTATGTCTCAGGCCTTCAGACTGAAGGTTATGATGAGCTCGCAATGAAGGTGGTTCATTATGCTTCTGGCATTCCTTTGGCACTTAAAGTCTTTGCTTGCTCTCTTCGGGGCAGGGGCAAACACGAGTGGGAAAGTGCCTTGAACAAGCTGGGGAAAGTTGCCAACATGGAGATTAGCAATATATTGAAAGTTAGCTACGACGGTCTAGAAGACAGAGAAATACAAAACATATTTCTTGATATTGCTTGTTTCTTCAAGGAGCAAGATAAAGATCACGTGACCGGATTGCTAGATGGTTGTTATCACGCTGCGTCTTATGGGTTAAGTGTTCTCGATGATAAGGCACTTATAAATTTAAGAAGGAACATGATTGAGATGCCAGATCCGCTGCAAGAGCTTGGTTGGGATATTGTCATACAAGAATGCGAGTCAGAGCCTGGGAGAAGGACTCGATTGTGGAGACCTGATGATGTTCACCGCGTTCTCAAAAGGAATAATGTAAAAAGAAATGCCACCATTTTGTTTCATTCCTTAGTATGCAAGTTTATGTCATTTTTCCTTCTCGTCCCCTTTATATTTCAACATGGTAAGAATGCTTTGCACTGACGGCAGTTTGGCTCTTTACAGGGTACAGAGGCAGTCAAAGGAATATACTTGGATTTGTCAAAAGTAATGAAGTTGGACATAAAACCGGATGTCTTCGAGAAGATGTACAATCTCAGACTCCTTAAATTCGATAACAGCAAAGGGGTAAACACTAAAGTGTGTCTGCCACATGGCCTCGAATCTCTTCCTGATGAGTTAAGGTACTTATGTTGGCCTGAGTTTCCACTGAAGCACCTACCCTCTGAATTTTGTCCAGAGAATCTTGTTGAGCTTGACATGAGACATAGCACTCTTAACAGGCTCTGGAGCGGTGCTCAGGTAGATGGAACATTCTTTTTGTTTGAATAAAAAGTAATCAATCGATCTTGAAGAGAGTAATCTGACCGACTATCATGTATCCATGCAGAACCTGGGTAGCTTAAAGATTTTAAATTTGGACTGGTCAGAGAAGCTGAAAGAATTGCCCGATCTATCAGGGGCCCAAAATCTTGAGCGGATTGATCTGTATGGATGCTGTCAGATTGATGAATTCCCTAAGATCCCAAAAAACATACAAGAAATAAATATGGGTGGGACCGCAATAAGAGAAGTGCCTTCTTCAATTCAACATCTCTCCAGACTTGTCAAACTCAATCTATTCCATTGTAAGAGACTCGAGAAGCTTCCAGATACTTTGAGCAATCTAGAAAGCCTTGAAGATCTGACTCTATCAGAAAGCAGAAACATAAAAAGGTTACCAGCCCTTCCGAGGAAAATAAAACTCCTTGACTTTGATGGTGTTGGAGTGGTAGAGCTTTCCCCCTCAATTGGTTCTCTCCACATGCTATCTCGTCTTGATCTTAGGTGTTGTGGGAACCTTATGTTTTTACCCAGCGACATTTGGAAGATGCAATCTCTTAAGTCCTTAAGTCTTTCTGATTGCTCAAAGTTGGAAGAAATTCCAGAAGTTCTGGAGAGTAACGAGTGCTTGAAAGAGATTATGTTAATTGTTGGATTTGGGTTTGTTTTGATAGAATCAAAACGGGCCTAGCCCGTGAGAAGCCCGGTCCGTATAAATTTAAATCTGCAGAATATTAAGAGAATATTCTTATTTGAATTTGAAATTCAAATTCAAATTGGATTCAAATCCGCAGAAAATCTATCAAATATGATTGAGATAAGATTGAGATAATATCAAAATAAAATCAAATTTGAATTTTGAAATTCAAATTGATTTGTTTTGAGATTCTCCCCTCTACTATAAATAGGGGTCTTGGGTTAGCTCATAAAACACACAGAAAAGAAACAAGCATTCTAGAGAAAAAGAGCATTCACATATTTGCTCATATCTCTCTCTGAGTTCGCTCGGTATTTGGAAAGCT